GTGTGTCTTTTTTTTGTTTTGTGTCTCTGTGGTTGTTTAGCCTGTTGTTTGTAGTTATTTGTGTCTCTTTGTAGTTATTTTGCATCTCTTTCTGGTCCTTTTGTGTCTCTTTGTGGCCATTTTGAGTCTTTTTCTGGTCAGTATGTGTTAATTTGACATTTGACATTTTGCAAGTGAAGGTTCAGGGGGCCCTCTGACACTTTGGGCCCATGGGCCAGTGCCCAGTTTAGTAATCCATCCATGAATGCGCCCATCTGTGAGAACCTAACACGCGGCTCTGTCTTCATGACAGAAAAAGCGTCAAAAACATCTTGCACTCATATATCAGCCGTGACAACCCCTGCACCTGTGGCACAGACTGGGGCATGCACACAACAACAGGAGGGCGGGCCCCTTGGTGGAATCGTCAATATGCAATGAAGAATGAAGGAAAAACAGCAGCTTCATTTTCAGGAATACAAAGTGTCAAAAAGGTCACACTCATTAGGCGCAGAGAAAAGAAGAAAACACAAAGGTTAGTTGTTACAATGAGACTGCTCGCCAACATGACATTCAGATACATGTTCACACCTCAGAGCTGCCGAGAGCAACCTATTGGCTGGCAGTACCTCTTGGGGCTTAAGTGTCTCGCTCAGAGTGACCCCTAGAAGTAGATGTTATCGAACGATAAGGATTTCTCATTCACATCCAAAGTGAACTGGATTGGGCTCTGACAGCCTTTGAGTCTCCTCTTGAACAATGTGACTACAGAGATTACAGTGTCTGGACCTGAGATGTGCTAGGAAAAAAAGACAGATTCAGACATGCGGTTATGGTCAGATTTAATAAATGTATGAGCTGATGGGGATGAGAATACCTCAGCTACTGAATCTTTCCCCCTGTTCTTTTTTCTTTACATTACACTATGTATATAAAATACATTTTTTAACAAACTACAGCACTTTTTCTGCATACAGTTTTTTTAAAAGCCAACACATCTTTGTCCGCAAGCTGGGACTAATTAACGAAAGCAGCCCAGCCATACACATATCTCAGTGTCAGTTTTCCAGAGTTTATAATTATTAGCTGGAGGACATGATTATGCAGGCTCAAGGAATTATTGAAAGGAAGCTAACTGTAAGGCACTCAGTAACTGCAGAAAAGCGTGGAAATGGCGCATTGTGCTCAATTCATATCTTAAAGAAGGTAAGACAAAAATGTGGTGTAAATGTCAAGCCTTCGGCTGGCCATATTTGCAAGTAGAGTCTTAACATGCTGGGAGGTTACACATAAAAACAAATAAGGAGGGAGATTAAAGAAATAAGCCAGAAGGCAGCATACACAGCAGGTGGCATTGATGATATAGGCAGAAAACCATTAAGCTTGAGGGAGCATGGATGATTTTCGCCCTAAAATAGGCATGCAGGACCTACAGCCAGACACCCAAATTGTGTCTCTATTTGTGGCTCGCAGGCTCCTTGGCAGAGCCGGCCGGCGCCTTTTCCACTCCTCACCCACAGGAGCTCACAGCAAATCAAGTTTATTATAGCCTCTAATTACAATTACAGTCTCAAAGGGCTTCACAATGAAACAATAAATGAAAATGATAAATGAAAATGGCATCCTCAACCTTATACCCTCAGTGAGAATGGGGGGAAACCCTTCCACAGCAACTTAATTAGGGACATGAAACCTCAGGGTGGACCTCGCAGAGAGGAATGCCACTGTCCCGTTTCCCCTCAAGGAAAGCCATGCAATAGGTGGTGGAAGTGGTGACAGTTCAACAAAAGTCACGAGGACTCAAAAGGTTCATCATGTGTTTAAAGGTCTGAGCAGTTGCCCCACTGAACTGTGTTAAAAGCCATGTGAGTTCATCTAAATCAATCTTCAAAGTCATCCTATGGAAACAAACTTAAAGAAACAGTTTGCTCCAAAATCAAAAATACTTATTATCCCTCTTACCTGCAGTAGTATTTGTCAGTCTAGATTGTTTTGGTGTGAGTTGCTGAGTGTTGGAGATATCAGCTGTAGAGATGTCTCCCTTCTCTCCAATATAATGAACCTAGATAGCACTCAGCTTGTGGTGCTCAAAGCAGCAAGACATTAGAGCAAGACATACATTTCCAGAAATCATGACGCAGTTACTCAAGATAATCCACAGACCTTGTTGTGAGCAGTTTCATGTACAAACTGTTGTCTTTCTGCAGAAACTCCACACTGCGCAGAAGGAAGTGTGCATCTACTCATGGACGAGAGGGTCGTGCTCGTGACAGCGGGAGATTTAAACATTCAGCATATTCTCATAGAGTTTATGTGACATCCCATGAATCTGCGACCCACGAATGATGTTACATACATAACATTAAGTTATGTGCTTAATGTAAAGCTACGGAGGTTAGGTTTAGGAAAAGAAATGTGACAACGTACCGTAAAATGACTCAAAGTTCACTCAAAGTTCTGACAGTTCCTATCATCGGTCTCCTGGGGAAAAGTCCTGTGTTTTGTTACTCATCCACCACTCCAACCTGCCTCCAAATAGGGCTGCTTCTTTCTTCACTCCGATCACTGCATTGGTCATATGATCACAGCCTTCCCAAATAGAACAGAATAGAATAGAAAGAACTTTATTCATCCCCAAAGGGAATTCAGCTGTCCAGCAGCTCATAAAAGACAAAGAACAACAATTACACGTCCCCTCATCAATAACAACAACAACACAGTGGTATCAAAACAGACATAAAATAAAATAAGTTAAAATAAGTGCATGAATAGAAATTGAATTAAAATAAAATTGTCCATTCCACAGCCCAACCAGTTGTGGCTAATGTGATGTGTGTAAGTGTATGTGACTGGATTCAGGAGGTGTTAAACATCCTTATTGCCATGGGGACGAAGGATCTCCTCAAACGCTCCGTTCTGCAACGCAGTGAGATGAGTCGACTGCTGCAACTGCTCCTCTGTCGCTCCAGGAGGCTGTGGAGAGGGTGTCTGCTATTGTCCATTATAGCTTTCAGTTTGTTCAACGTGCCCCTCACCACCACAGATCTTAGTGGGTCCAGTCTCCTGCCGAGCACCGAGCCAGCTTTTTTAACCAGCTTGTCCAGTCACTTGATGTTTTTGTCCGTCAAGCTGCCTCCCCATCACGCTGCAGCGTAGAAAAGTGCACTGGCCACCCCTGTGTGATAGAATATAGTCAACATCTCCACACACACATCAAAGGACCTCAGTGTGCGCAGAAAGAGCAAGCGGCTCTGCCTCCTCCTGTAGAGGGCGTCAGTACTCAAGGACATATGTTACACCCAAATTATTGACTCATGCTTGTGAGAAATATGTATGAGTTTTGGTGCATAGGAAAACATAGGCAGGGTGGATGAAAACAGTCTGAAATATTTATGGCGTCCTCCTCGGCTGAGCTGTAACGTTAGCTAGCTCAGCGTTGCTAGGTGAGCTAGCAGTAGATGCACACTTCCTTCTGTGCAGTGATACGATTTGTGGGCGAAACTGCTCACAACAAAGTCTGTTATTATTATCTTGAGGAACCAGGTCACAACTTGTGGAAAGAGACATTGGTGTTTTGTTTTTCAAATGTATTTTTTGGTGGTTTGAGCACCACAAGCCAAGTGCCATCTAGTTCCATTATATTGGAGAGAAGGCAGACATCTCTACTGCTGATATCTCCAACACTCGACAACTCACACCAAAACTATGTAGACTGATAAACAGCACTACAGGTGGGAGGTAAAATATGTATCTTTTATTTTGGGGTGAACTGTCCCTTTAAAATAACATAATTGGGGAAAAAAAAAATCACCGTCTATCTTGTTTAATTCATTCAAGATGAACAGCTTTAGTGTTACTAAAGTCACCTAAAGGTTGTGGATGTCATCTGAGTGGTTATGACTTAAGTCTCAGAGGGCTTGGCTGCAGATGCCGCTCATTTATTACTCATGATAAGTGTTTATTTAGTTTACCACTCGCTAGTCTGGCTGCATGAGAATACAGAGCATAGACATTATCAGCACTACCACTGTCACAGAGGATACTTAATACAGAACAAATACTGTTGGCAGTGAGGGTAGTTTGAAAACCCACATTATTCATCAAAGATGAGCGTTCTGACATAATCTACGTCTTGTAAATTGTGATGAAGCACTCAGCATGCCACTGTCACTTCACTTGCCATCACTTGGTTAAGTTGAAAGAGCATCCTGTTTTAAATTTGCACACTTGTCCAAGAATCCGACCACAAAAAAATACATGAAAGCAACATGGGTGGTATCTAACATGAAGGGGAACACAGCGGGGTGTTTAACGGGGGTGTTTTTGGAGTCACAGTGGTTTCAGAATTAGGTTTTGCGATAAATCCAAAAGATACTCATGTTGCAAATTTACTGTGGCAATAATTAAACCCATGGAGCTGTAATATTTCATTTAAATGGAATCTGACTGGAAGGTCACACAGTTCAGTTTTGTCTATTTTTGCCACTTGTAATACATTTGATTTTGTTCATTAAATAGCAGAAAACAAAACCAGGTCAGAGGATGCTCGCAAAAACATCCACAAACACACCTGGGAGTTGGCACAGTGCAGGCAGACTTGTACTATTCCACTGGGTTAGAGGTGACATTACAGTACATGCCTTGCACAAGGGCACCTTGAGCACATCTTTGATTTGGAGGAGACACGTCTCATTTTTCTCGTCCCCCCACCCCTGCCCAGATTTCTCCTCACCCTGATTAGACCCCACACCACCCCCAAGGTCACAGAGTGGGGATGATCTGCTCCCATTTCCTACTACTGCAATGACTCAGATGAGATTGCTATATCACTGTCAGCAGCAGCTCACAGGCTTGGCATCTCTGTCAGTCGCGGTTGGACCTTGGGCACCTGCGTCAGTGCTCAAACCGCGGAGCCCGCTGAATAAGTGGGCCCACTCACCGCTGTGTCTCGCCTGGGAGGCTGTTGTGCAATAACGCACAAGGAGAAGAGAGAGGGGTGGGTTGGGTGGGGGGGAAAGAGAGTCCCCTCCAGCTGTCGAGAGCATCACTGACAAGCTGGTCGGTTAACAGTGAGCCCTCCCGCAAAAGCGTCCACCGCATGTCCATGTGGGCATTGATCCGCGTGACAGATCACCGCCTCTAAACCAGCCCTCGGGTTCAGGGTTTGCCCCTCCTGACCAGCACCAATCTGAGATGGGTAGAAGGAGGGGGCGGGAAGGTTAGTTTGAAGAGGGCAGAGCTTTACGAGAGGACGCCGATATTTCCCTTATTATTTCACCGCTGGAAGAAAAAAAAAAATAAAACCCAGTGGACAATAACAGCTGAGGGAGAAATCAGTCGGACCAAACGTCAGAACCTCATTAACTCCACGGAAAGCCAGTCGGGAGGGAGAAGAAACACCAAGAACACACCGCTCATTGCTGCTGGTGAGATTTCCTTCCAATGCTTGTCTTTACCTATGTTTCATGTTAACGTCATTTATCAGCTTTGGCACATGCAGCTGCCAGGGTTAACAGCCGGACACGGTTTGAAATGCGCTCGATGGCAATGTTTCATTCACATGCAACAACTGCTGCATTATAACTGATGGTTTAACAGGTCTCTGCTCGCATGCTGGAGTGGGAATGATGCTGATGTGAGGATGCGGCGCTGCATGCTCATCGTGTTGCCTGCTATGATAGAGATGCGGTCAGGGGGGTTGAAGTACTGTTTGGGCAGTGTGAGCAACAAATGTGGAGCTCTCTCTCTTTTCTTTTGAAATCATGTGTGGGAATACAGTTGAGACAATGGCGGTTTCTCCAGCTTGACTTTCTCAGGACAGTCAAACGGCACCACAATGCGACACTACGCCGATTGTTACTTTCCGTTAATGGGCAATTAGAGGACGGCGCGCGCGATGGTTTTCTGTTCAGAAATCCGCACCCGCACTGGAAAAGTCGGGGCTCGTGCTTTTTGACCTGCTGGAAATGTCAGGAACAAGCTACCGCAACCAGTGACAAGACTGTTGAGCAGAGGCTAACTTAACCTTGGAGGGGGGGAAGCGTAACAGCGGAGGGTCTGGCGGATATCTGCGTCTCTGCTCCATGAAACAAAATGAATGCCAGTAGTGTTGTGTGTGTGTGTTTCTGAATTGATAAGTTCAACTGACGCAAAAAAAAAGATTATCCTTATTATGACGACAGAAAAAAAAACATGCGTCCACACGATTTCACTCAAGAGATTTGTTTCCCTTAATAATTTATACACAATATAGTTGTGCGTTTTGCTGTGGCACATAATGAGGATGCATAAGCCTGCCTCATTAAAAAACATAATCCCTTCTTGAGAAATCTGTGTGTGTGTGTGTGTGTGTGTGTCACTCTCTTCCTCCTTATCCCCCCACCCCTCCTCTCTGTCAGTGACCGTGCATGCTCTGTGGTGTTAACAGCCACATATGCTGAGCAATGTCCAACTGGAATGATGCTCAGACACAACATCTTCAATAATTCAAATATATTATTCAAATATTCCCGAACCCCCCCCCCCCCCCAATCCCCCTCATCGCAGAAGCAATTCCCCCAACCACAAAATCAGGTGAAAATGGGTCAACACAAACACCACAAACGAGACACACTTTCCGGATTACTGTTGCATTGTTGTTTTGTTTGCTGCATGAGAGGAAACAAACAACAAACACCGGGCTGCACTCTTAAAGATGATCATTTCAATGCATGTGTATGCACAGAGCTTTTCCAGACGAGCTGTACATAAACAAACCTGTTGGTGCTACGTGTTAAAATGTGCGTGCACAGGTTAAAAAGCAGACACTTCACAGCAGGAAGAATTATGATTTCGCATTCATTTTTAGCTTAATCTTTTCATGATCTCCAAGCAAAGTCAGAGGCCGAGCTCTGGCCTTAATTACTGGACATTATCCCGATTATAAGAAGTATTTCACTCAGGATAATTCCCCCCACTCTCCGCTGTGTTTTTTTGCACACCACATTTTAAGGAGTCCCTCCTCTGCGCATCACATATTCATGTATTTACCACACCTCTGCTTTGATGTAATGCACAGTCATCTGTGGCTCCTCGCAGCCTTTCCCCCCCCTGCCATCTCTCAGTCTGCACGCTACAGGGCTCATAATGCGATGACTCCCTGGACTCATGAGTGTGACCACAAGTAAATGACTTCTCTCAGCCAGTTTCTTCATCTGTTGAGACACACACAGCAGACAGCCCCCCTTTTTTTCACAGCAAATGGCTGCATGGTGGAAGGGAAAGCAAACTCAGATTTATTGTCCAGCAGGGAATGTGTCAGGGAGAACAGATTTTTGTTGAGGGAGGTGTTATCTTTTCCGAGAGCTGCAGATGGATATGTTGTGCCTCCGTGACTATACTGTAGTGAACCTGCTAAATCTGAAGTGGCGTGATTAGAGGATGTGTTTGTAATTGCTATTATTTGGATTCTGCATGCAGATGAAGTCAAATAAAACGTGCGGCAAAGATAGAGGCAGATTGTTGCGGGGATTAGCATTTCCATATTGTTCCTGGAGGCACAGTAAGGCATGATGCAGTTAAATTCAAAGTATCTCAGGTGATTACAAAATAAATGGGGGTAATGTCTTCCGGAGTGTTAAGGGAAAGCACTGTCTTGGTTTTTTTGCAGGAAGGCAAATATTATGCCCATAAATTAATGTTTATAACATGTTTTGGAAATGACTCATGTTCTAAATAACAGGGTTAACTCCCACTACTGTTAGCAGCTATTAAAAAACAGCCAGCGAAGGCATGCATCGCCTTGCACAGAAGCTTGTTTTGGAGATGTCAATATGTACTGAGATTCAGCACACAGCTCAAGTGGAGATGTGGCATCAAGCTACTGTCTGATGATGATAATGATCACAGCTGACAGCACGTAATCACGAGAGCCCTCTAAGTATATTGGGGCTTCGGCCATGATCATGTCAGTCATGACCAAGAAGCTTTGAGGGGAAATTTACAGCGTGGCTCCACAGGGGCAGAGATGATGAGAAGTGGAACAAGGCAGGACAATGAGAAGGCCATGCTGGGTTAATACAAACTGGGAGAAAAGGACACACACTTCACTTCACTTATCCTGCACAACCAAACATGATTTGTAGGATGGAGTGAAGAAATTGAGTATTTTAAGGTTGTGGAGTTTTTTTGCATGACTTTGAATTTCTCAGCGTACTCACTGCTTCCAGGAATTTTTGTTACCTCACTCATTCTCCTGTTTGGTGAGCTCTCATCATTCCCCCATTTATGTGGAGGAGAGGAACAAGATTAATCACTGAAGCTCCACTCACACAGGAATAATGTTACCTCCAGACGCCCACTGATTTATGATCATTTCTGTGATTGTCACTGATCTTAATCCTGCACAAATGTTCTCCCATATCTGTAATTTGTTACGTAAAAACTCCCCAAACAAATAACTTGTATTACTGTATTTTGGCAGAGATAGAGGACTCCTGACAAGAGCGATATCATGTGCACATCCCAGTGATTCAGGGACTAAACCTGCTTGCCAAAACTGCATAAAACATTTTCAACAAGTACATTATGTGCAGAGAAAATCATCCACTATTGTTTGATGAAAGGCTGTTGGGGATGCCACAGCTGCACAGTTACACCGTTGAAATTGTTCTTGCTAGATTACCATTGAGATTGGATTTGATATTCAAAGGTATTATTTTGTTTTTGACCGGTGGTTCAAAGCTGTTTTTGTGGCGGTAGAAAGAAAAACCCAATAAGAAATAAGACAGTTGTGCAACATTTTGCACAGTTTAGCATACTCGCCTCGAAATGAATTCATGAACATTCATCATCTAACAATACCTGCACAGGAATTGTTAGATGATGAATGTTCATGAAACAATACCTGCACAGGATCCATTGTCACCGCAGATGTTCACCTTTTGTTTCTCACACTCTGTAGAACATCGGGGAGAAGAGAGGAGGAAATCGCCGTCACAGAATCATATTCTACAAAAAAAAGAGCAAGAAATCACAGATCAGAACAAGCATCGATTCAGACTTTTGAGACTGGAGCCACTATGAAATCTGCATGTTTGTACTAAAGTTATTGTTGAAATAAAACCATCTCTATTTTGCAACCCAATTGTCAGCAAAATGTTGGCATTGTATGTTTCTGTAAACAACAGACACGTTACTTTTTTATATTATTGTAACCGCACTGTGGCTAATGTGTGGTTATGTTTAGGCACGAAAACCACTTGGTTACTGTTAGGAAAAGAGTATGTTTTGTCTTAAAATGCCTACATTTAGCAGCGCAAAAGCCGCTGGAAAAAGGAAGACAGATTGCTTTAAAAAAAAAACAAAAAAAAAACACCCACATATAACAGCACAAAAGCTGCTGAAAAAGTGGCACCAGTTTGCAAAAGAATTCCCACATTCAACAGCACAAAAGCAGCTGGAAAAGTGGTGCTGGGTTGCTAACAAAGTTCCACATTCAATGGCACAAAAGCTGCTACAAAAGCGGCACCAGGCTGCTAAAAAATTCCAATACTTTTAACGGCACAAAAGCTGCTGAAAAAGTAGTGACAGGTGCCTGAAAACATTCAGCTGCACAAAAAAAAAAAGAAAAATTGCCCACGTTCACAGCACAAAAAGCTGCTGGAAAAGCAGGGATGGGTTGCTAAAAAATACCCACATTCAACAGCACCAAAGGTGCTGGGAAAGTGGCAATGGGACACTAAAAATCACCCACATTCAATGGCACAAAAGCTGCTGAAAAGTGGTGAAGGGTTGTTAATAAACATCCATGTTCAACAGCACAAAAGCTGCTGGAAAAGCGGTGAAAGGTGGCCAAAAACACTGACACTCAACGCACAAAAGCTGCTTAAAAGCGGCAATGGCTTGCTAAAAAACACCGGCCTTCAACAGCACAAAAGCTGCTGGAAAAGCGGTGAAAGGTGGCTAAAAACACTGACATTCAACGCACAAAAGCTGCTGAAAAGTGCCGATGGCTTGCTAGAAAACACCGGCCTTCAACAGCACAAAAACTGCTGGAGAAGCAGTGATGAGTGGCTAAAAAACACTGACATTCAACAGCACAAAAGCTGCTAGGAAAGTGGCGACAGGTTGCTAAATATACACCCAGGTTCAACAGCATAAAAGATGCTGATAAAGTGGCAATGGGACACTAAAAAACACCCATGTTGGGTGACACAAAAGCTGACAACCATAAAAAAAAAAACAACCACTGTTGGTGGTGGTCTCGAACAGTGGTCTGCAGCTTGGCAACAGTCTCACCTGGGTGATGCGCCATACACCATCCCCTTTGCCTCCTAGTTTCTAAGTCAGCTCATACACTACAACGCTTTGGAAACACTGATATGATACAGATGAAATGTACAAATGTAATGGATCCATGGTTTGCAGAAATGTACAATGCCAACAT